TGAAAGGGTTAACATTTTTCAAATATTTATCTGTAGTATGTTAATTTTAAAAGCCAGTGAGCTGTAAGTTCTAGTAGAGAACTATTTGCTCTAACTTTCTGTGGTTGATTATATGCTAAGAAAAGCCATTTAAAAATCTTATTTTCACTAAATATCTACTAGCTTCTGAAGTACAATAGGTAGTTCTGTGGCCCTCTGTATAAGTGCACTCTACTTTAATTTACAATTACTTGTAAATTTTGTACCAACAAAGATTTTTAAGGATTCTGGCCCAGTTCAGTGCCTTGGTTTAACAAAGAGGTTAGAAGTTTGAAAAGATACCTTGATGATGATTAAAGTGCAATTCACTTTGCCGTCCCTTTGATTTGACTGCTGGGACAGCAGCTGTGGTGGACTCACCTGTGTAAATTCAGCTCCTCTGTGGATGGTGTAAAAGGAACAGCAGGTTTTCCTCGTTTGCCACCCTTGAATTTATATTCAGTTTTTAATATTAAGGGCAGCAGATTTGAAAACACTCATACATGTAGTACCTATGTTTTTTAGAGTCACAAATTATTACTGAACTTTAATTTGTATTCCACTGCTTCATCTACAATCACAGTTTACAAGACCAGATTTTCTCTTAGAGTAAGTATAAACTCTCTTTTTAAATCATTATGTCTACTTGTATTACAAATTATGATCTGTGTGTGTGGGGGTGTATACCTATTCATTTCTAAAATGATGTGCTCCTGCATTTAGCTTTGTGCTTATTGATGTAATTACTTTAAAACTGAGTAAAACTAATGGATAAAAATAAACAAGTAGGAAAGTCTCTTAAAAGTGTTGCGTGTGTAGACAACTAGAATCCTTTGCCCTTATAACATGGTTCTTGGTGGAGTTATAAATCATGTGTTTTGCCCACAAAGCACATGCTAATATTAAGTTGTTTTTAAAGTGATTGTGTTGCATCACCATGGCTCTGCTGTGCTCTGTAGGGTATCATGTTGCTTTAATGTAATGAACCGAGTCCTCAGCTCCTAAATCTCCATGCTGGAAATGATTACATAAAACTGAATGGCTATGTCTGAAGTCTTATGAATCTTGATAATTTCTTTTTCTGTGAGAAATGTCCTACAAAGGCTTTTCTTATTCTTAGAGGAGAAAACTTCTGCATTTATAACTAGTTTCTGTTGAAAATATCAGCGATTTTAGCTTATATAGCATTCTGTTTGAAAAGTAAGCATCATCTTTGCTGCAATGTCTGTAACTTTGTACAGATGTGCGCTAAAAGAACATGATGTGCTTATTTGTTGCATTTATGCTACTTTCTTACTTTAAGTAAGATGGATGAAATTACATATTAAATAAAAACAGCAGCTCAAACAGCAGTCCTTAGCAAACCGAAAAAGCCTTCCAGAGACAGTGGAGAAAATGAGAATATGACTTTAATAACTCACTGACTTTTGAGAGAATTGTCTTTTTAAAAGCATGTGTATAATAATTTCTTTATGGGATTTATTCAGTGTTAACTGTTTAATGTTTAAAAGTAATCTGACATGGCTGAGTGCATTGGCTCATGCCTGTAATCCTAGCACTCTGGGAGGCTGAGGAGGGAGGATCGCTTGAGCTCAGGAGTTTGAGGTTGCAGTGAGCTGTGATGACACCATGGCATTCTACCCAGGGCAGCTGAGCAAGACTCTGTCCCAAAAAAATGAATAAAGAAAATTTAAAAAAATAATAAAAGTAATCTGACATTAAATTGTATTAGCAAAATATTATGGAAAGTATTGTTTTCTATCTTAATCAAAGATAGCACTTTAATTTTTATATACCTTCAGTTCTACACAGACCCATACATTGTGTGTAGCATGAAACTGCAGTTACTGAGAAAGCTGCATGGCCCTGGGCAAAGTATTTAACCTCCTCGAACCTCAATTTTTCTTTTCTGTGTTATATACCTACCCGTTAGGGTTGTTGTCATGATTAAATGAGAATATCCAGCATAATGTCTGACACATATTTATCAGTATATGTTCACTTACCTTCTGTGTGCCAAGCTTAATAGAGTATTTTTATTTGTACTTTCGAGATAGAAAATACTTTGTATTGAGTATTAATTATCATACTCGAGTCTAAAGCGAAAATTTATGTAGAATAAACTTTTCTTCGGATATTTAAGGAACGTATGTTTATTCAATGGCTACTGAGCATAAAACATTGCTTTCTGTCACATACAGTTAAATATATTTGAAATTCAGTAAGGTCAATGTGAATGCTATTCCAAGTTCATTTTATAGTCCCCCTCCCTTTGCTCTTATTTTGTGCCCTTGTTGTTAACTTTTGGAAAGTTTTCAAAATAAAAAAGCACTTGACTTTGTCCTTTAGTCATTTAAAAATAGGGTTGATCAATATGAAGCATTAGCTAGGAGTACAACTTGGTGCTTTTTTATTGATTTCAGTACCAATGCCCTCAGGCTTATGGTGTGGGAATGAAAATGATATATGAAATATGCACCCAGGTTAGACCAATTTTCTTCTTACATCTGCAACCACTGTAAGCAGAATTCTTTATATGGAAGTGACTTTCGTAGCAGTCAGTGTTCCTCTCTCTCTCATACACACACACACACACACACCCACAGACACAAACCCCCACACCCTTACCCTTAAAACTCCAAGTGGCCTGCTGAGCCGATGTTTTTGTTATTGAAGCCAAGACTTGTACAGTTCTTTGGGAAGTTTCTGCCATTTAGTTGCTTTTATTAATAATAAAATGCTATTCAAGGTTATAGATTTACAGCCCATGAATACGCTTTTTGGCATTTTAACAGATGATTATAAGCCAAAATCTTGAGGATTTGAAAGATGTTCTGCTAAGTAGCCAGTTACAGACCATTAAAGCCAAGAGGGTGAATACCAGGGAAGCCTGCTCAGCAGGGCATGAATTATTTAGAAAGTTGTGTAAGGAAGTTGGCTGTGGGCAGAGGTTGTCATGTGTCATCTGCCCCGTCAGTCAGAGCTCCAGCAGCTGTTCCCTGTCACCAGGGCCCTTGTGTGCTACTGCCCATCCATCAGTGCTAACAGATACCAGCTGCCTCCCCACCGTGCTGGGGAAGCCACAGACACACAGACTCACAGTGTGTATCTCTCACTAGCCACCAGTTTGGATGGAGGCTCATTTCCAAAGAGGGAGACCAAGCACTGAACTCCTTGGTCTTTTATTAGACTATTAACCAAAATATATTATCAAGAGAATTAGCTGCATGCTGGAAAATCTATCTGTCTTTGACCAAAAATATGGCTATAATAGTATAAAAGGGTTACACATTTGAACTCAAAGAGATGCTCGGTGAGAGATGGGAGAGTTTTCTCCACCAGATACCAGATTTTCAGCATCAGAGTATCACTGAAGAAGCCTTTTCTGGTTGAGCACAACAATGCAGAAAAGATTGGAATGACAAGCATTGTGTTTGTGATGACGCAGCAACCTGCCAAATGGGATACATCCCAATTCTGATTATAGACAAACCTCCAACAGTTCCTTTTTCCCTTCTTGTATTCCAGAGATATCCTTAGAGGAAACGGTTTGAGGGCATTAGTATCACTATCTGTCTGATTACTGTGTTGACATTTTTAAAGTGCCATTAATCATAGGAAATGGAACTTAATGGTGTAGAAAAATAGCCAGCCAAGGAATGTCAAGAAAGTAAGCTACAGCCTGATATTCACATGAAATTGCAGGGAAATGCATCTTAACCCTTTAATTGTTTTTTATTCATCAATTTATTATTGAACTCGAAAGCTGAGTATTAATAACTGAGAGGCAGCTGTGCAAGCAAAAGAAATGGTGAACATAGCAAAAGGAAATTTTAAAAGGTGGATATTTTTCTTTGCAAATGGTGTAGCTACAAAATATATAAAATGAATAAAGATAGTATTCATCTTTAGAGTATATAATTGAGGTCTTCCGTTTTGGAAGAAAGTTACTTTTTATTTTTGATATCCTCCCTCGTAATTCTTCTGTTGACTCTGAATACTCAGTGTACTTCATAGTATGCTACACAGGTAACACTGCTGTCACGGCCACACAGAAGTAAAAAGCAGTGATATGGCACATAAATAGAGTTATTCATTTGTCAAAAGCTGGGACTGGACAGAGTAGTTCACACCTGTAACCCCAGTGCTTTGGGAGGCTAAGGCCACTTGAGGCCAAGAGTTTGAGACCAGCCTGGGCAACATAGTGAGATCCCCATCTCTATAAAAAAAATTTAAAAATTAGCTAGGTGGAGTGGCATACACTTACAGTCCCAGCTACTTGGGAGGCCGAGGTGGTAGGATAGCTTGAGGCCAGTAGTTCAAGACTAGCCTGTGCAACATAGCAAGACCCCATCTCTACCAAGAAAAAAAAATTAGCTGGACATGGTGGCTCATGCCTGTAGTCCCACCTACTTGGGAGACTGAGGTGGGAGAATTGCTTGAGTCCAGGAGTTCAAGGCTGTATTGAACTATGATTGGACCACTGCACTCTAGCATGGATGACAGAGTGAGACACTGTCTCTTAAAAAAAAGTTGGCAATACTTGATGCGTGTTTTATTGGATTTTGGTATCATCAAATAATTGTTTGCCTGTTGGCTAGTTTAAATTCAAATAAGTTTTCCTAACTGAAATTTTAGGAAATGAGGTAAATATAGATAACTTTATTTATAAAATATATATGACATTAAACTATAATGAATATTACAGTGTAAAATGTTTTTGGTGCTGACCCTGAGCAGGTGCTTTATTTGAAAAATAGCACAAGAACCTAAATCAACCTCCTTCTCATCCCTCCACTCTTTTTTCCTGAGACAGACCACCTGTTTATTATAGCATGGGACACATAATATATTCTCAGTAAAGACTGATTGGTTGATGTATGGATCCGAGATGAATGAATTTTAGGGTAACCTGAAATAAGGAGATTAGAAAAGAAGTAATGTTATTGATAAGTGTTGGGCTTTTTTTCCCCCTACTGCAGGTTTTTATCATCCATTGGAGGGACAGTGTGTGAGATTGGAAAGCCTGAAATGCAACAAAAAATAAATTCATTCCTTGAAAAGGAAGGAATAGAGAAGATTGCAGAAAGATTACAAACAACAGTACATACCTTACAGGTGATCATAGATGGTCTCAGCCAGCCTGAAAGTTTTGACTTTCGAACAGGTAAACAATTGAACTTGAATTATGGCAGTTTGCATTTGTATAGCTCATATTATTTCCTTGGATCCTCACAAAAATCCTATGCCATAGGCAAAACAAATACTATTCTCCCATTCTACACATATAGTGTCCTTCCTTCAAACTCATTATAGTTAATATCCGGTGGCAAAGCTAGAAGCCAGGTGGTCTCCAGACTCCTTATCCACGTGTATTTGCCATTATTCTAGACTACATGCATCATACATGTACTACTATTTGCATGAAGGCACATATTTTTCATGATTTTTTTAAAGCTGTTTTTATCTCCTAGGAGCCAGAAGTCCAAGGTAAAGCATTCAGTTCACAAGCTAAAAAGTGAATCTTCTTCCTAGATTACAGCCTTCCAAGTTCTTGGATTCTGTGTCACTGAATCCATTGAACAAATAAGATAATATCTCTCTGTCGATTTTCCTTCTAATTAAAAGTGCTCTCTGCTTTCAGCACAGGTAGATGGTGAGGGAAGTATAACAGCCATAGCTGTTGAGAGTAATGACCTGGTGAAAAAGAATTACGGTATCAAATGACCTACTTCCCAAGGGAAGTTTGAACAGGAACCCCTGAGATTTAAATGAATCTGCACACTCATCTCATAAACATTTTCGATGATACCATATTTAGGGCATGGCTCTTTTTATTCTGATTTAGGCTATTTTGAGATGGTTAGGTATGCTTCTTTGAAAAGGTTTAAGAGAATTTAAAAACACACCCAGAAAGTTCATTGAGCTATTCCCTTAACTATTTTGTAGGTTTTAAGTTTTTAAAAAAAGTCAAAGAAAAATAAAATAACACCCAGTAAGACCTATGCCAAAAATGTGGGAGCAGAAGTCTCCAGATGGTCCTCCACACAAAGTGGATGTTTCAGCAGACAAATCCATCTCCATTTGGAGGCCTGGTAACCCTTTATGGGAATCCATAACATGTGTGGGTGTTGTCTAGCAGAGATGCCAAGTAGAGCAGTGGTTCTCAAAAAGGTTGGGATGTGCAGATGGTAGGCCTACACCCACTGTATTAGAAGCTTGGCAAATATACTCTAACTGCAAGTACCCTATACTGGATTTGGGTGTCCATCTTCATTTTTCTGTCGTGGTGTTGATTGCTCCATTATCCCAGGCATACTGTAGACTCGGAGCAAAGATCAACACTCTAAATATATGGTCCAATTAACAACCAACCAAGTTGAACAGAAACACAGATGCACCTGGGCTCTGGACTGAGCTTTCCAGTTACTGCAGTGTTTGTCAGTGTGACAAGTGAAATTTCAAATAGGTCTCTTTAAGCAAACTTTAGAACTGACCTTTCCCCTAATGTAAGTCACAATTTTCAAGATGTCTGAGAACTTTTGTTTTACTACTAAACACATCCCCAAGGAGGAAGGCAGATGAGCCATCCTTTTGACGGGGCAGATAGTATTTTGGGTGTTTCTACATTACAGTTATTTATGTTACATCTCTTTTCTCCATTGTCTCGAGAGTATTTCCTTTCTTAATGCCTCATGCTTTCCTAATACTCATCTTGTCCTCTGTTTTCTCAGTGACGTAATCCACTCTATTTTTGTTAATACTCTGGTTGCTACTTAGTTTCCGTAATTGGGTTCATCAGAGCAGCCTGGTGACAGTGGACTGAATATGCAGCCTTGGCTATGAAAGTGTTAACATTTGCATGGTACACAGAGGATTTTCTGATTTCTCAGTGTCCCAGACTGTCTTCAGGAACAAGTTAAGTAGTTCCTGACTCTAATTTTCCATGCAAAATTAAACTGAGCAACTGATCAGGAACCCTTTGGGAATCTGCAGCAGCTGGACTTCTGCAAGAAAAGAGAGAAAAAAAGAATTTCCAAGCATAAAAACAATGCCTCTGGTGTCCTCAGAGACCATCCTATCCCTGGCCATGATCAACGACTTAGTTTCACTTTGCTTTGACACAGTCCTAGCCCAGTGTAATATTATATTACATTGCAGTAGGTTTCTTGCTTTTGGAATTCACTGCTTTAGCGTCAGGTGAAATTCTACAGAATCAATTCCAACTTTGCATATTCTTATTTTATGAGGAAAATGAGATCTGGGGTTTAAAGAGGGCTTTTGTTTTGTTTTACAGGAAAAAGCTTAATTTTTGAAACATCTTGGTTTCAGTATGGTTGGACTAGGGGAGGGGAAGAAAGGTGACCAGTTGTTAATACAAATGTAAAGGATAGCTTTAACAAGTAATCAGGATAAAGCCAACAGCTGTGGAGGAAAAGGAAATGGAATGGGTGGAGGGGAGAATGAGGTCTTAGTAAATGGAGATCCAAGCAGAGAATGTGTTCTTTGTTATTAGAGTCAACATGCAGTAATCCTAGGAAAGGGGGCCTTCGTGAAGAGCATGGATAAATGGAGCCCACAGATCATCAAGCCCCATTTCAACTGTTAGTTCTGTCTCCCTCATAAAACCTTTGTTGTTGTTTTTGTTTTAACTAGAGCCATGATGATTCCTTGGCATGCTTTATACCCACCTTTTGGGGGATAGGTTAATGAACAGAGAAATGTACACTGAAGTAAGCAAGAAAAGAGGGCATAAGGAACTTGAGAACAGAGATCTAAGTGTCCTCATCTTTGTATCTCTAGCATCTAGCAGAGTGCCTGGCTGTGAGGTAATTATACGAGTAAATAAATGTTTGATGAATTGAATTGAAAGAAGAGAAAGAAGATTAGGTACTAGCTGGTCTGGGTTTCTGAGCCATAGGTAATCAAGAATCCATGAATTTTGAGTGTATGAATATATTTGAAATGGATAGGAATTGCTTTTCCGAGTTCCAAATGTGTAGGAAGAAGTAAGGAGAGAGAACATCTGAATTTCATCCACATTTAACCAAAAGTTGATGTACTTTCTACCACCTTTAAACAATTTAAGAATCCAAACACTGGGTGTGTGGGGGACACTCCTGATCTGTCTTCAACAGTCTTACTTTCTCAGTGTTTGTGATTTAGCCTTGTATATTCATTGAGCAAAGATATATTCTCATCATCTCACAGAAAGAAAAATAAGACTCTCTACTCTTCTCAGTCCTCACGTATAGTGTGCTAATGTGTACCTGCTTAGTGAGATAGAGTTTGGGGAGAAGAAAGTGTTTGAGTAAATTTTTAAAAATTGTTTCTCGTATGCAAATGCTGTTTCTTTGCCTAGGATGCATTTTCTCTGAAGGCAAGCCTGTGTCTTCAGCTCCTTTTATGTCCCCACTAATGTCCCTAGGAAGTATAGTGCCTTATTAGTTACTGCTAACTTTTTCTCCCTTTTCTTATAGATTTTGATAAACCTGATTTCAAGAGAAGCATAGTGTGCCTGGAAGATCTGCAGGTTGGGACAGTTCTTACAGGCAAAGTCGAGAATGCCACTCTGTTTGGAATTTTTGTGGATATAGGAGTGGGGCGATCAGGGCTGATTCCCATACGAAATGTAACAGAAGCAAAACTTTCTAAAACGAAGAAGAGAAGGAGCCTTGGACTGGGCCCTGGAGAAAGAGTGGAAGTCCAAGTACTCAACATTGACATCCCCCGATCTAGGATCACTCTGGACCTCATTAGGGTGTTGTGAGTGTCCCACTGAAGGCTAATCACTGATTTTATTGCCTCCTTTCTAAAGGTTGACAAAGATAAGTCAGATGTTTATGAATTCTAGATAGCAGGTGAGAAAATCTTCACTTAATATCAGGAATATTTTCCAAACACTTTTTTTATTTTTCCTTCTGAATAAGTAGAAAACGAATAGCTTGATTTCTTTTCCCCTTAAAAAAAACAACTAATAGACATCCTTATATGGCTTTATGTAGTAATGGTTTTCTGACCAAAATTTGATTTTTTATTTTTTGTAATTTTTTTTAACCCTATTTGCATTTTGTATAACAGATTGCTTCGCTTCTACATGCCAACATCTGCCTTGTTAGGCTTGTATGGAATTGTCTTCTTGATTTGAATTATACAATGTTTGTTGACACAGTAGGGCTGGCAGTATTTGATCCTCCCATTTTATAGATTTTTTTTTTTAATCAGGCCTTTTGAACTTGATTCATAATTTTGCAATAATCTTTATTTTCCCTTGCCAAGCAAACCAAAAATATATTAGCACAACAGATTCTGATATGTTCATAACCATCAAGTGACTGGCTCAAAACATTTCTCAGAAGGATATATGTATTGATTCCAGCAATAAAGTTTTGTAGCTAGTGACTTGTTTTTGCTGTGCTGATTCAGTGAATGACCTAGAAGTCAATCTTGATTAAAGAAAGATGTGGTTCATGTAAGGGCATCTTTGGGGAAGAGGGAAGCCTCTGGAAGTTTGAAGAATGGTTTTGTTTGACTTAGAACACTATATTGTTTCTTAAATCAGGATTAAACTTTAAATGGGGATAGAAATGGCCTTTTTAAGGATTGAATATAGATCATGCGTGAAGGAACAAGAAAAATAAATAGAGGCCAGGCACTGTGGGAGGCCTGGGAGGCCCATGTGAGAGGATCGCTTGAGGCCATGAGTTCAAGACTAGCCTGGGCAACATAGCAAGACCCAGTCTCTACAAAAAATTTAAAAATTACCCAGGTGTGGTGGTGTGAGCCTGTAATCCCATCTACTCAGGAGGCTGAGGCAGGGGAATGCTTGAGACCAGGAATTCGGGGTTATACTAAAAACAAAAATAAGTAGATAAAGGAAATGACTCTTATTCTGTTTTTATTCAGTGGAGATGATAAGTATTGGCATGACCATCCAGGGTCAAAATGATTTAAATAAAGCCCACACTGGACTGGTATCCTATCCGTTCTGACTAGTGCTGCTGCTGTTGATTTGCCTAATGAAGATATTTGTATGTGACTGAATGAGTACCTGGTTTTCTCCAGGTATAATGAGTGGAGGATGGTTACTAAGAGGGCGACCAGTCCTCTTTGTTTCCCTGGGACAGTCCTAGTAAACACCCATTGTCCTGGCATAATTTTTAATGTTTCCTCTTTTTATTCTCAAAGTGCCCCATTTTGGATAATAAATTATATAATCACCTAGTAATCACTTACAAAATAGTAAACACAACTGTGTGTTTCATGACAGTTCTGTCTGGTGGTTTGCTATTCTCAAAATGGCCTTCCAACTGGTATACATAGATCTTTATAATGCAGTAGATTCCTTAAAAGTTGTATATCTCAAGTCCTATTTGTGTATCGATTTCATTTCTGAAATGCTTTTTCTGTGTTTCTCACTGATCCACTGACAGTGGATCTTAATGTTATAACTTTAAGTTGATCTTCCTACTCACTCCTCCCAATGTTCTTCCTGGTTCATAATTTGTAGGTCAGTAATGACTGATAGGCACCTGAAGGGTCTTATTCTGAAGCCTCAGATGTAATTTCAAATGAATGTTTTTGGGAAGAGACACTTTAGATACAGAAACAAAAGCAGCTGACAGTGTGAAGATGCTCTGTTGACCTAGCAGCTAAGCCTTTATGGGCATAATGAGGGCTTGACATTGTACTAGATTGTGTGATTTGTCGTGTCCAGCCCAAACATGGCATTAGTACTAGCTTAGTGGAGGCTCTCTTAGCCCTAGCTGGAGAAGAAGGGCCACATCTCATTTAAGGTACATTATAACTTCAAAATGTACCACAGTGATACATTATGTTTTACTATTCCTAGTCCCTATTCTACCAGTAATCCACATTGTTCCTTTGAGCTGGTATCTTTGCTTCTATAGGCCTCCTTTTCCCAAGTTTAAAATAGAGATGATAATAATAAAGCATTTATTCCCCTAAACATTTATAGGTGGTCTCCTGTGTGCCAGGCACTGGACACTGACCATACCGTTGTGATAGGAAAATAGACATTATCCCTACCCTTATGGAGTTTAGAGTCTATTGAGGAAGAAAGAATCATTAATTGAAGAATTATATAAAAATATAAAATTACAATCATGATAAGTGATATAGTGGTGCCAGAATGTAATAGATGAATTGACTTAGACAAGTCAGAAAATGTTTTAGTGGGGTTTGACCGAGTTGTGAAAGATGATCAGAAGTTAACTAGGACAACGGTTTTATTGATCTTAATAAGTGTTGTTTTCCATAAATGGTGGGGACGAAACTTATTGAATGAAACTTAGAGTGGAAGGGGTTAGATTGGAGACAGTAAATACAGACAATTCTTTCAGGGAATTTAGCTGTAAAAGAAGAGAAATAGTATAGTGGTTAGAAGGGGGAATGGAATCAAGCAAGGGGTTTGTATTTTTTTAAGACAAAAGAAATAATATATACAAATGGAAATGATTCAGTAAAATAGGAATATATAGAAGATAGGAGAATTACTGGAAAGATATCCTTAATTATATGAGATCAGATGAAATCTAGTGCACAAGGGATTGATCTAAGATAGGAATACAGAGAGTTCATTCATATGAACGGAGAAAAGATTGAATATGTGGGCACAGGTGCAGGTAGATAAATGGGGGAGCTCGTGGGAGGTCTCTGGATTTTTTCTATTTCTTTCATTGGACTATGAAGGAATGTCATCATATGAGACTGACCATCAGAGGGAAAAGGAGTTGGAGGTAAGGAGTTGGAGGTTTGAGAAGAAAGGAAAAATTAAGAAATAGATGAGAATGAGAGTAAAAAGCCTAGGGAAACAGAGAATGATTTCCAGGCAGTGTTAAGTGTTCCACTTGAAGTTAATGATCATGAATGGAATGCAGGACCAGTCAGCTTGATTATGTATTTTTCTCCAGCCACATCAGCTGTGTGGGTGCAGGCCCAGGTTAGGTGAAGAGGTGATTTTATCAGGTTTGGGAGTTTGCCCAATGAGTACAATAGAGAGAAGGGCAAGGAAGTTGAGGGCATGTGGACAAAGAAATTATTGACCATGGAGCTCAGTAAGAAGAAAAGTGAGAGTATAAGGGAAAAGTCAGGGGCAGTGGAAAAATGTAGACTTAAAGGATTATAGGCCCTGAGGGAATCAGAGGGATGTTAGAGAGAACATAATGGGTAAATAGAGTGGTTGGCATTAGTGGGGTGCATAATTTTGAGATTCTAAGAGGGGTTGCAGTTTTTGGTAATGATAGTATAGGAAATGATAGTGGAATAAATAACAAAAATAGAGGATGAGGATATGATCATTAGAGAAGAGGAGGTCAAGAACTGAGACTTCAGAAGGATTAGCTATGTGGACAGTGATTTTAGGAGGCTGTTACAGTAATGCAGGTATAAAATAATGGTGGCTGGAATCAGAATGTTAGTGGTAGAAGTGGTGAGAAATGGTGGGATTCTGGATGTAGTTAGAAGGTGGAGGTAGAGCCAAACAGGATTTCCTGGTATAAGATGTGAGAGACAGGGGTCTAGGATGGCCTAAGCAACTGTGAGTATAGAATTTTCTACTGAGGTGGGGAAGACAGTGGGAGGAACAGTTTTCATGAAGGAATTCATTTTGGACAGGTTACATTTGAGATACTCATTAGACATCCAAGTGCAGATCTGAAGTTCAGAGGAGAGGGCTGGACTAGAAATGTAAATTTGGAAGTCACCAGTGTGTAATTGCACTTAGAGCCATGAGACTGAATGACATCACCAATGGAGTGAGTGGAGATAAAGTAGAGGAGAAGTCCAAGGACTGAGTTGTTGAAAATCATCCAAGACCCTCAGCTCAAAAATTTTTGAACTTCTCTGTAAGGACAAGAATTTTGTCTTGTTATGGCAGGACCTGCCAGATGCTTATTCAGATTTCTCCTATTCTCCCTTGCTAAGAGAATCCCGATTTGAGGGGAGCAATAAAGTGGCTAATGGAAATGGATGTGGCCAGTTGAATGTAGGTAAAAGTCATGGGGTGGGATTCCAGGATGGTTAGAATGAGTGGGGAGATCAAGCTCAGCTGCCATGCTTTTCTTATCCTCTGCCCTTGCCCTCCTTCCTGCTTGGAATGCAGATAAAATGCTGGGAATTCTGGAAGTCAAACAGTGACTAGCACTCAGTAGGGAGTGCTAGAATGTTCCTGAATACATCTTGGCATTGCGGAGTAACCAAAGCAACCCTGAACCATCTACTTAGGATTTCACATTATGGGAGAAAAACAAAACTCATTCATTTAAGCTGGAGGAGTTGGAAGGGGGTTTACAGCAAAGTATATTCCCTAATATACAATTGTGTTGTCCCCAACTGTATCCCCATATGTAGGAAAATGCCCAGCACGTGATAGGGGCTCAATAAATGTTGATCAATTGGATGAATAAATGAATGAATTTATTCAATTCCCATATTCATTCTAATTTATTCATACTGAATAAGAATTCAATAAAATGGCAGAATGTAAAATAAATGCCCCCAAATCGTGTTAGACAATGGGATAGAAAAAAGATTCCTATTTATTGACACTCTGAAATATTTAGAAATGCTCTAACAAGGAATAGAAAAGGTGAATAAGAAAAATTATAAAAC